CAAAGTGCTATCCCTATATGAACCTTTGATACTTCAATTCATAAATTTTATAAGTTAGCACTGTTAAAATTAGAGGTTCCATCTTAAAAAGTCAATCTTGTTAAAAAGAATAGCCTAAATTGGTGAACATTTTCTTCTTTATTCGATGTGGGATTTTATCCTTTAACATGCCCTCGCAAGTTGGTGGCTCGGTTGAGCAGATCAATTTAAAAATTCGCGTGTTCATTTTTTGAGTCTTAATTGGATCAAATTGCTCGTTAAAACTTAATGGGCTCCGATACCGTATTAAACTTGATATTTCATCTTAAAGGGTCAACCTTGTTAAGAGGGGTATTTCAAACCCTTATAATTTGGTCTATATTTTCATCTTTAAGCACAACTTATCAGCTTAATGTTTTTTAGATATTATTGAACAAGTTTACAACAATACTGCTAAAGGTCATCATGCCACAGAAGCTGACGTTGGTGGAGTTGTCATTTGTTGACAAGAAACCAAAACTTATGGTCTCCAATATTTAGAAAATCTGTCAACTCAGAATTCTTATAAGATGTGAATTCGTGAAACATATCAGTATGATCCTGTCATTCCATCGTTCTCTCTCTCTTTATACTCCAAAATTATGATCGAGAATAAGGCACTACAAGCTACATTACTAAAGAAACCCAATTTCATTAACTCATTTAGGCATTTGCATTACATTTTTGACATTTGTGCAAGATCCACCAAGTATTTCTCAAAAGAGGTCTAACTGACTACATAGATGAAGACAGACAAAATTGAATTCAGGCATAAAAAAAATAAAAATATAAAAAAAAATAATAATAATTGTTTTTGATGCTCCTGATAAGAATAAATAGCACTCACCTGAGTGAAAATTGCTTTTGCTTTTGATATTTTAAGCCTTGAAGATATTTCACTTGGTGCAAAACTATCAGCAATGGACACAACTAAATAGCCAGCAAGAACTATGGCCAGGTAGATCACCACAGAATTCACATCCATGGGCATATCAATGGCAATCGCAGATCCTTTCTCCAATCCCAGGGTTTCAATTGCGTATGCAACCAACCTAGGAAAGTTCTAAACAGAGTTTGACATCATCTAACAGCAAAGCTCATAAACTGTTGAGAAAATAAGAGCAATATAGCATCATAGAAATCAGGAGTCGAATTCTCAATACCACCAGACAGCAGTTTTCAAACCAGAGGGTTAGTTATATGACTGGTCACTGAACTTTATCAAATGCTACTACTTAAAAACTGAACTTAAAATTGTATCTCAACGGTGATTGAACTATATATCGCATTACCCATCCATGACTCAAGTTGACACCGTTTGTTTAATCTAACAAAAATTCCAAGTTGGCAATGATTAACTTCAAAATTTGACCAAGTTGGAATTCCATCCAACACATTGGAATTTCAGTTAGATTCAACAAAAACCGTCAACATGAGTTATGGATGAATAACACGGTGCATAGTTCAATTACCATTGAGATACAGTTTTAAGTTCAGTTATTAAATAGTAGCATTTGATAAAGTTCAAAGACCATTCATATAATTAACCCTTAAACCAAAACAGTGCAATCCATAATACTACTAAGTTATACAGCATTGAGGTGGTATGTTGTTATTAATAAGAAAGCAGAAAATCAAAAGGGGACCACATTATCTCATAGGAATCTATAAGAATAAAGCATATTTTGCACAATCATGATTATTTTTGTTGTTCCCTTTTAGGCATGTTTCCTTTCAAGTAAGAGTAATTTCCAGTTAAGTCATGCAACGAAGAGGTGGTACATTGTCATTAATAAGAAACCAGAAAATCGAAAGCCAGTAATGGTAACTTGTAGTTTAAGAAGAATAAAGCATCATTTATCTGAATATAATTCTGTTTCTGCTTATTGTCTCCACATCCTTTTATACATGTTTCCTCTCAAATACCAACAGGGGAAGGAAAAAATTTAATAAGGCGAGTTTTCATATGTCCCCAGGTCAAATATGGGAAGATGAGCCTTCTGCCAAAGGATATTGACGTGTGGAGACAACAATAGTGGACCTTTTAATCTTCGATAATATGAAAAGTCAACAACCTGTATTCACTTTGAGCAAGTTTACATTTTGTATTATTTTTTATGCCAAGTATTCTATGATTGTGGTGAAAGTACACTGTCGTTATTCTCATCTACTCCATAACCTATTTTCTATGGAAGTATTCAATGCACAAGTTTTACCTACATATTCTGTTAGTGTTATTAAATTCAAATATAATAAAGTCCTGAAGTGTTCATTCAAGAAAATTGTAGTAAAAAGAAAATATTGAAGATTAAAACTCTCTAGCGGAGGATAAAAATAGCAGAAAAAGTCCACCTCAATGGGTGCCTGCTCTCTATGCAAAATAAATTTTAGGGAATACACTTTATTGAAGGATAAGCAATGCTGTCAGTTAGCAATTAGCATTAATAGGATTTTGAGAGAAAGTTTTCAAGAAATAAAACCAGCTAAGAACATCATAACATCTATCATGTATGATTTATGTTCTACCATACATTGTACAAAACAGATAGAGATAAGTATAAAAATAAATATTTTTTTGGCGTTTATCAAAAAAAATCACAAATTGCCAAATCCAATAATTAAACCATCATGATGAAATAATTATAAATATCAAACAAATCTTCCAAACCAAAAATAGCTTACCAAACTGCTGAGCGTAACTCTCTAAAGGTCATCTTTTTTACAGGCACTTTGTCAGCTCCTTCATCTTGCCATATCAAGGCAATATCATCTGGATTCCTCTTCCCATTTAGACACAGGCAATTCTTTGCTGGATTTGTATGTGCTCCAGGTAGCCAGTGACCACCTGGGTGTGTAGGATCCTCCCGCAAAATGCATTCAGGAGGAACTGAAAAGGAGATATTCATATCTTCTAATATTGTTTTCCAATAAACCTTTAGAACACATAAGAAGCAACATTGATTAGGAAAACAAATCATTAATCATGTTGACTTAATAGTTTGATGATCAAGTTAAAGTGTTTAATTGTTTACCTCGGGGTTAGAGACAGAAAATTCCTGAAAATCAAGGAAGCTCGAAATAGGGTCTTTGTATTTTGATCCTAAGAATTCTTTTCCACGCTTCTCCAATAGCTGGCCAACATTAGTTAAATTTGCACTACCCCTGTAACAGAACATTCATTAAGAACACATTAAAATTACCAATTCTAAGTGATAAGTTTACACTAAATTCAATGTATTTGTAACTGAATGATGTGCAGAACAATATCAGAGACGACTGATTCAGTTTCACCAGAATTGTAAATACCCTCCAAAAATTATAGAACATGAAGCTGATGCAATTTTATTGCCCAATGAAATGCCAATGACCTAAACTTTCTTAGGTATGCTTCATCTACTTGTTTATTGTTTCTTGATATAACAAGTTCATAGGAAATTATGCACAAATTTAGCTCATTGATGGTTAAAAATTGGATAATCTAACACCTTTTTCTCTTATACTACTAATAATCAATCTTTTCTACTTCTACTTCTTATATACCTGGTTGACAACCAAAAGTTTAAAACTTAACCAGCTCTTTTGATACAAAATTTTAAGAACTTGATAAAAGTTAAAAGTCAATTTTTTTAAAGAAAAGAATTTCTTCTCCAATTCCGGTGTTTTGGGAATCTTGGGTTTGAATTGTATATGACAACAGAATCCATCTTACAATTATACCATATATTAATTAAAATAAATTTTCATTAGTACTTTAGGTTGAATTCACAAATCCTCTTTTAGTTTCAAACTTCAATTCACATGGTTACATGCTGGTGAAGACAAGATTTAAACTCTCTTAACAAGTAAGCCCCCAATTGGCAACCAATTTATGATGGTTTATAAATTTAGTTAAAGTCAATCATATTCATAATCACAACCCATAAACTAACCTCACATTTCATGAAATCCATTACTATTCCTCTTTATATTTGATTTATGCTAAGCTTTTAGACTAAAAAGGTTCAAGGCTTACTGCCACCCATTTATGAAAATTATGCACTTGACATTATTTAACCAAAAAAGAATGTATGCAGCGCGCTGAACCCAAAATTTAAATATATAACTGGTAATAACCCCTTAAGCTTTTCGAAGACAAAATGAACAATCATATAATAAAACACTTAAAATAAAACAGAACCACATACGAGTCAGGTATCCAAGCAACAGGATCAGGTCCAAATTCCTTGTAGCATCCATAATACATCATCTGATGGAAGGAAAACGGAAGCTCCGGACTTAAAACTTGCTTACAAATCATCTGCCATGTTTGGGGAGTTCCAGCACCGCAATCACGAATTATTCCGGCGAGTTTTCCGTGAATCAGATCGGCGACTTCAATTGGTATGCCTAACGCCGATATATCAGCGACAGTGATACAATCGAGGGACTTGTATTTATGGGTCTCCATTTTTGAATGTTTTTTATGCTGCTGAGAATTGAATTTCAGATGTACAGAGCTTACATGTATTTGTATAAGTAGAGACACGGAGTGCGGATGTAACGATAAGGTTGTGTTGTAACGATGGACTTCATGGTCCAACTAATCACCCGCTTGTACGACAAAGGACTGTTTGGTTTAGCTAAAAAAATTATTAAAAATTTTAAGTTAAAGTTAACTATTAATTTTTCACAATGTTTATCGATTTTTGAATTATATATGTCATCAATATTTCTACTAAAAATTTGGTTTTTATGAGAATTATTAATACTTTTTTTAATTATTTAATATTATTACTTAAATACAACTGCAATTTAAAAATATAAAGCAGAAAATAAGTCTCCATTCGCAATGTGGGTCTGGTCTGGGGATCCTTGACTTTAAAAACTGAATAACTGATTTTCAATTTTAGCAGTAAAAGTTTTTCAAATATTGAGGATACATAACAAATTTTTTTTACTATTATCTTATATTTATAATTTATCGTCTTAAATTTATGCATCGATTATCGACAATCGTAAAATACCATTGAAGAACAAAGTTTTTTACAGACAAGTATAAATCATACTCATTAACATTGATCAAGCTGTCGAATACACCACCCTTTTTTTCAAATACAAATTACAACAAGAAATGTACCGAAGTCAAGCAAAATGAAGAATTTTCTAAAATGGTCTAAAATTGAGGGTAAAAAATAATGTTACTCTGAGCCACCAGGAAGCAATTTGGACGAACTGGACGTACTAAAGCGTTTAGATGCTGCAGGAATGATTCGTGACGGTGACACGATTTCAGCAAAAGATAGATTATACGAATCTATTCCTAATCGGCTCTGCAACCAACCTTTGCTTCCAGAGAAACCATCGGTCACAACCCAGCAATTCTTGAAGCCGAGATTTGATAGTGCTCTAGCAACCATTTTAGCTGAATCCGAGTACCTAGACATTTCATAAATTTGAGTTATCGAAATGAGTACAAAATCAAGGTACTTGAGCATGTTTGGCTAAGCTTATAAATGAACGTGCTAATTATTTATATGAAAAACGATACTTCTAGTCGTATCTTGTTGGGCTTATAAGCACATTTAGCGCCCTCCCCTTATAAGTCAATTTTTAAGGGAGTGTTCTACATAATGCGCTTATAAGCCCACAAGACAGCGAGGCTCAGAAGTAGTCGGTACATATTTATTTTTATATCAAAGTAACAAATGAGCAAAAGGAAAATAGAACTCACGAGTCCAATATAACGATGTTGGAACCTTTACCAATTCTCTTCAGGTAAGAGATCTTCACTCCCACTAATTCAGCTTCCACTTTCTTCACATTTCTTACAAGACTTCTGATCTTGCTAGGTAATTCTTCTAAACTGACAAGTACAGAGAGAGTAGCCAGTTTTATTTAGTCTTTACTCAAGAATGTAAAATCTTGCAATAAACCTTAAACAAATAGAAGCCTTTTGTCAAGTAGAACTTCCTCTTTGCTTATTCCAAGTTATGACAAAAGTTTCAGTTTTGTTTATAAAGTTATTTAATATGTGATATCCTGATACAATACAGTTTTGAAGCTAAAACATGTGAAAGACAATATTAAGATGCTCAACGTTGATATTTTATATATATTAAAAAAAGATTCTCAAAGAAAATTCACTTACGGGATCGATATCAATTTGTTTTTAGCACTGGAGGGAAGGCGAGGAACACCAGCCTTGTTTTTGTCTTTCTCTGATCTTATATCGATCATAAGGTAATTCTTTGTGGACATCAGATCAAGAGTTTGAGCAGGAGTTAGGTCACCTAAGAAAAGCATTCGGAATATATGAGAAGATCATTTGACAAAGTGACAAAACCTATATAAAAATTAATAATATCAATCAGTCTTAAAAGCTGGCTTAGCATAAGATCTAAGAAAACATGAAAAAACTGCTGATGAATTTGCAGAATACCCAAAGTGAAGCAATTTATTTTGTGAACTCGGGAAGAAGAAACTGTGAGAATCTGAGATCAATAGAAGCAGAAAAGTTACCCTTGTAACCCCGAAAGCTCAAAGAGATAGCAGAAAAGATGGGAGGAAGTAAGAGATATGCAAGGAATAATACACCACCAGCCCCGACAATTTTGACAGGATCTGACGATGAGATAGTCTCAACAGTGGAAGTGGCTATAGGTTTCGCCTCATCGATAACTTTTGTTGTTTGTTGTGCTACATCAGCAACTGTCTGCACCATGAAGATTGCTTCTAAGTTGATATTACAATTGCATGGACAATACATGCATTGAAGAGTAAATATTATAATATAAGTCAGTCTCCTCGAAAATCTTATGCCATTAAATAAGGCGGTTTAACATAGTATCTAGTCTAGCTATCGCCCATTCAATCTTAGATAAACAATGAATCGGCCTGCATGGGGGGGGGGGACGTGTTGAGTATCAAAATTTAAAAGAATAAATATCTCCATTCTCTAATAGCTGAAGCTTTAACATGATGATTCAATAACACAGAACCCTAATTCGGAATAATTGCTACAGATGGTGAATGATATCAATACATATAAATTCACACTGTAACTCAAACATACTGCCAAATATTGAATATACAATCTTGTGATTTCAAAAGATTCGCCAAACCGAAAATTCCAACGCCCTTGATTTGAATTTTGCAAAATATTTAAATACTTAAAATGCTAACTCCGTCTTTGCTTTTTCTCATGATTTTTGCAAGATAGTTACAAAATTGAAAATCAGAACAGATGATCAGTGGATTATTATCAATCAGCACAAAATTGTTTTCACACTATTGATTCAATACAGCCCTACAACCTTACCTGATCATAATTGAGCTACATGGCTAATTTGTGTAAAGATTAGGTAATATACTATTACCTAAAGACAACTTTTAGAGAAACTAAAGTTCAAATTTCAAGAAAAAATGTTGTAAAAGAATAGCACAAAAATTCAATAAGTTCCAGTCCCAACCCTTGTAAGATAATGCAATTTTCTTGCTCGTCAATTGTTTGGACTAGTCCTTTTAATCCATGTTTAATCTATAGGCAGACAAAAGAATTCAGAAGACTGTACCGATGACTACTTTATTTCCTCTCATTTTCCCAGTCAAAAGTTTTATGAATAATCCAACACTCCTTCAAATATAATTTGAAACTCAAGTTGATATATGTGCTTCAAATCGGGAAAAAAGTTTATATGTTATACATGGAACTATTTCCACATTCTCCATGATATTATACGGATTTCCCATGATTATTTCCATGATAATTTGATTGTGTAACTAGTATAGAATCCTTGTTTCTAACCTGATAAACAGGACCTTTTCAATTATATGAATCCATAATTTCTGGCAAGCACGCGGCATTACTTGAAGTAATATCCAATTACCTTAGCTGCACTTATTACTGGCTGTGTGTCAATGCCAGAACTCTGCATCGTCTCTTGTGCTTTCTTAGAGAACTCGGAAACCACAGGAGATGCAATCTTCACAGCCTGTTCTCCGGCTTGCTTTAGGATAGGCAATGCCACATCAACTCCTGGTTTCACAGCTTCCAACACAACTCCAATTACCTGCCTTGCAACATCGAAAATATTGGATCCTACTTCTTGAACTTGATTGATTGTCGACTCCACCTGAAATACAGCAAAATTACTCAGTTTATAAGTTGGAGGAGCCCGTGCACCAGCCTTGGGCTCGGTATGATGTTTATTTTGAGGGACATCACATAAATAATTTCTCAACAACAATGAGGAACCATTTTAAGACAACTTTAATTTACCAACAAAAACGGCAAAAGCAAGCTAGTCCAAAAGAATTAAACTTCAGAAATTGTCACCCTTGTTGCCCTGTATGTAGTGGGACCTGTGGGGACACAAGAAAAAAAATGCCCAAAATAGATCCAATTGTACTACAATGACAGAGTCAATGACAGATGGGACACGTGTCATCGTGTCAATATGTAATTCGGCAGTTTAAAAATAAATAAATAAATAAGTTCCAATCCCCACACTGCCACGTCACTATCACCTCACTTCCTGTTATTGACCCTGGCGAAGGAGCATTATTCAAAAAAATCCTCCCCTATTGTGAGGGGTCTGTCAGTGCCCTCCCTGGCTGCATAGCAGGTTTGAATCCAAAAAATTGGGTTTCAAGTAAAATTCAAGAAAACGCCAAATATCAATCCATACTCCAAAATTCATCATGATTTATCCCAAATAAAGCTAGTGAAAGCCAAGAAAGTGATTGAAATAACAAAACAAAAAATATATAATTTCAACCCACCCAATTATAAAAAGTTAGCGTATCCTAAAATGAATCGGTTAAGCTTTTACACGTGATGGTTAAAGCTGTACCTGCTCAAGAGAAGAGACAATCTGTTCTTTAGAAATAGCAAGAGCATTGGCCTCATGAGGAACTGTGAAGAGCACAAATAGTGGCAGAGTAGTTTTAGCCGAGTGAGACAAAGATTTTGGTGCGAGTTTAGAACAAGAAAATGACTTGCGGGGTGGTGGAGATGGTGGAAGAGTGAGCGATCTTACGGTGGCTGAAGCTCTTAGGGCCATCACCTTAGGCCTTCTGCCAACGCTAATGGTGTGAATTGATTGTGGGTCTAATTTGGTTGGTGAGAATCGTTGGAAGAAGTAGTGTGATTGTGAATGGGCAAATTGATCCCTGTTGGATGATTTGATTCGACATGATTGTGCAAATTATAAATACTTCAACTGCAGCCACAAAAGATGAATCGAAGTGTAGGAGTGAAGATGATGTGGGCCATTGTAATTTATTTCCACAAAATCATTGGCTAGCTATTGCTGCCTCACGTGCCATGATGTGCACACCTTTGATGCTCTGTATGCCTGTATTAGCGCCTATGTGTGTGTGAATGGGCAAATTGATCCCTGTTGGATGATTTGATTCGACATGATTGTGCAAATTATAAATACTTCAACTGCAGCCACAAAAGATGAATCGAAGTGTAGGAGTGAAGATGATGTGGGCCATTGTAATTTATTTCCACAAAATCATTGGCTAGCTATTGCTGCCTCACGTGCCATGATGTGCACACCTTTGATGCTCTGTATGCCTGTATTAGCGCCTATGTGTGTCATCATGCGTAGAGGTGGACAAAAATCAAACCAATTCACGAAAATCAATCAACCCTAATTGAGCCGATCGATTTGGGTCGATGTTTCTTAAAATTCTGTTGGGTTAAAACCCATCCAACCCAACCCACTGCTGAAATAATAATAATAATAATAATAATAATAATAATAATAATAATAATAATATATATAATAATAATATATATAAAGTTGAAACCTCAGGGTCCTAATATACAAAATCTTATCATTTCTCTCAAATGTTCTATCTCATTCTCTCTCGTTCAAGCATGTCGACCATCGCCAACTCTATTTGTGTTTAGATTTGACGCTAATCAACGGCCTTTACTCCTTTTAGTACTCTTAAATTTAAATTTTAAGTTGATTATTTATTTATATTTTGCAAATGTGATAATTTGCGGTTTGGTTTTAGGCTTTTTTTTTTTTTCCTTCAAGCGAGTGATAATTTGTATAATATATGCATTTTTCTTCATGTCTGATTACAAGTTTTTGTTCATAGCTAAAGCGTCGTTGTTAGGGATGGTAATCGGGTTCGTCGACTCGGGTCACCTATGGCTCGGCTCAGAAAATTCCGAGTCGGCTCCGATCAAGGCTCGAGCAGAGCCCCATTTTTTATGGTCGGGCAGCGACTCGTGTGGTTCGTTGACTCAGGGTCATGGGCCTATATTAGTATTTAACTAAAATAAATAAATAAAAATTATTTAGAAGGCAATATAATAAATAATAAATAAATCAAAATCGGCTCGGCTCGAAAAGGTCCGAGCTGAAAGCTAGGATTGAGCCTAATTTTTTTGGTCAAGGAAAAATTCGGCTCGGCTCAGACCCGAAGAATAGCTCACTCATTTTATCCAAGCCGAGCCCGAGCCTTAAGTTTGGCTCATTGACATCCCTAATCGTGGTTGATAGATTTTTATTATCAAGTATATCTTTATAATTTTTAATGTCTAAACCGACCAATTCAACCCAAAACAACCAAACTTGATTGAGATGGGTTGGGTTAGTTTAATTTTAGATCAAACTGATCGTATTGGGTTGGATTTAGATTGTGTAAAAAATCGACCCAACCCTAATTATGTGCACACATTTTACCCTCGTGGTGTCCACATTGTTGCCTTCGTGGTGCAGTCTGTGTTGAAATTATTGTTCAAAATCAATAAAAGAAGCTTTGTAATGAAAAGGGGATTAGGAAAACAAAACTTTCGCCTATGCGATCTCATAAGCCTTTATAGCCTGCGGTCGCATAAAGACATGCAGGGCTTAATGATTAATCAAGGGTTTGATCTATGCGATCACATAAAACTAAAAAATAGCTGTTAAGGTTGATTTTTGTTTGAATTCTTGATGGCATTTGGTGAAAAGTTTGCAACTTTTCATAGATTTTTGACACTATTTCGTGGATATTTATTGAAATCTATAAATATATGATAGATTATCACGTCATCAATATAATTCAACAACATGGCATCAAATCTTCATTCTTAAAAAATAGAATTCAATATTCTTTCCTTCCTATTCAAATGTCTGTCAAAGTGTTCTTAAAATTTTAATAGAAAAAACTAAGTACTTAAGTGTTTTTCTGTTGCAAAGCTTGATTACTCCTTCAAAACATTTGTCAATATTCCTTTAAGCATCAAATTCAATTCAAGAGGGAGCCAAAATATTGTTCGAGGACAACAGAATTCGTGTTTAAGCCTTTATCTATAATTTCGTGTTCTTGTTTCTTCTCCATCTTAAGCCTTTTACTATAATTTCGTGTTCTTGTTTCTTCTCCATCTTCTGTGTGGAAAAAATTTTCCAACAGTACATTGCCTACCATAAGTGCAAGTTATTGATTTTGCAAGCCGAAGGTCGGCCCACGTCGACGGCATACCATGCCATCAATTTTGTCCCATGTAGTATATTACTTTAGGATAGTTTTGCTAAAAGGATTTTGCTATGGGTACAGAAAACCACTACAGGACCTCTACAGAATTTTAAATGTGACGATGTGGCATGGCCTATTAAAAAGGGATTACAGAACCCCTAAATGTGATGATGTGGTTTGGCCTATTAAAAAAAAAAAAAAAAAAAAAAAAAAAACCCACTACAGAAATTTGCCCTATTATGTCTCTTCCATTTCAACCATTAAGTCTCTTCCATTTCTCCCAAATCACCATCCACTTTCCGCTCATGCACTCACCGTCGCAAAAGACCAGGGATGAAGAAGCTAATACCATGTTAGAGTCCACCATTCAATCATAGTCACTCATCTCCATCCACGTGAACAATCGACTTGCGAACAATCCCCGGCGATGCAAAGCTTCATGTGATAGAAACACCATGAGATGGTTAAAAATGTTGGTGAAAAAAAAATGGATAGACCGTCATCGTCCTCAATTTCGTCCATGATCTACAGCTTTGGGATACCATGGTTTTTTTTTTTTTCCGAACATCCTGAAATAAGAAAACTATAGATGAGTTTCAACTCCAATTTGTGAAGTGAGGGCAACTAAGTGGGGGAAGAGAGTGAGAATTTGAAAATAAAAAGAATTTGATTGCCCAGCCAATTTATTAGTATTAAGGAATAGAACGAGCCGAATTCTCTTTACCCACCGGTCGAAGTTGCGTCAGAGATGAATTGAAAATTGATTGCCCAGCCTATTTACCCAGTGATAGGAGTTGCATTGGTCAGTCTTTCTATTTACCCACCGGTTGAAGTTGCGTCCGAGATGAATTGAAAATTAATGGTGGGTTTTGTAGTGGCACGTAAATTGTTTTTTGCTATGGTGGAATGAAATCCAACTCCCCTGACCAGTCTTTCTATTTACCCATGAGTCGGAGTTACACCGAAGATGGAGCGAAAATTAGTGGTGCGATATTCTTTGGTGGGACTCGACGCAAAGAAGGGGGAAATGGTGGAATGAAATCCCGTTTCCCAGTTTTTTGGTTTCTGGAGATGGTGTTTCTTTTTCTTTTTTCTTTTTTTGTTTTGTTTTGTTTTGTTTTAATAAACTGTGTCACATCATCAAATTTAAAATCCTATACTGGTTCTTTAATGGATTTTTTGTACCCATAGCAAAATTCGAAACCATATTTGTTTAATAAGAGAACAGGACACTAACTTGCAGTGCTGAAACCATGGTCTCGGAATCATGGCAAAGGTTTTATCTCACACTGGAAGGCTCATCAAGCGTCTCTTTCATCATCGCATCAGAAATCTCAATGGTGTAAGATTAATTGTTGTTATTGATAAAAATCTTCTCATTACTTAAAATGCATGCCTCAAGTGCTGTTAGAGAATATTTAAAAGAATTTCTTATGCCCCTCTTCTTCCTATTAGGCTATTAGCTATCTCTTATTCCCATTAAATTTCTGAGTAGACTCTTTCTTCTTTTTACAATATACCCTTTTCAAATAGCAATGTTTTTTTTTTTCCACAATTAACAAAGCCCTTTGAATTCCCAGATACTATGCATCCTTCATAAATATACCAAAACCTAAAGGAAAATTGTTCGTGTAAAAATTACAAATATTTTGGATATTAAAAATGGCTTTTGAGAGTAATTTTATGAACTAGATACTTAGCTCCCATTTGATGATCATTATTTGAAAATCTTTTTTTTTTTTTATATACTCATTTTCAACCACATTTTCACACAATATAAGATTATGCACATGAACTCAAAACTTTTCCCCAAATTTTAATCACGCATTCTGTTAAGAATCAGTATTCAAAACATTACTTTTTCTAAATAATGGTCATCAGACAAAGGTTTAACTTTTATGTTTTGAAATAGGACATGTTTTGAAAGTTGGTTATTGAGTGACCTTAATTGCAAAATTTGAGGACTCAATTTGAAGAGAGTAAACAAAGACCAAAAAAGAAAAGAAAGAAGGAAAACCCTAAACTAGCACATATGTTACATCATTTTCCAGTCAACTAAAGATATCATCAATAGAATTTATTTTGGCTTCAATGTGCTAACGAAGCATAATCTTCTTATGTTTTACCTTTGATGTCAGCCTTCTTCATATTCTTGAGAGAATCAAACAAAGATGTATTTTCTTGCTTGCTTGAAGACTTTGCAAAGGGATTAGATGGGCGATTAAATGTCAGTTGATCTACAGCCTTGATCTTCTTTGTCTCTTCTACAGTCTTTACTTCCTTAGCATCCTTCGATTTGCTCTTCACATCAACAGCCTTTTCTGATTTTGTTGTTCGAGTTTCTTCAAGTTTTTCGTCTTTATATTCTAACGGTTCCTCAACAGCTCCTTTTTTTGTAAAGAGAGAGGAGGTTGATAACGCTTGGGTTTGAGATGAAGCTTTCTTTGATGTTTTACTACTTTCTGGTGCAGTAAAAGACTTGTCAATGACATTAGCAGTTTTCGCGATGGCATCACAGTGGGAGGTCATTTGAGGGAGGGCTGTTTTTCGATCAGTTTCACTGGACAACCTTTCCTGTAAGAAATGAAAAGTGATAACTATCAAAACTTAAAAACAAGCAAAAGAGATTGAACGAATCAAATTAACTTTCGTATAACTTCACCTCCAATATGTCATTGAAGCGCTCCGCCAAATTTGGTAGTTTCAGTGCTGTC